TGGTTTGGTCAACACTTTTCTCATCTGAGAGGAATGGTAGGAAAAGATCCCCCTTCTGTTAAGAAAAGTGTTCTCATCTTTCTCCTCCTTTCTCGATAGGGAGCCGGTCGGCCGAGCGGACAGCACACTGGACTTAGTGATCCTGTGGTCCTGGGTTCGATCCCAGGTGCCGGCGAGAAACATTGGGCAGAGTTTCTTTCACCCTATGCCCCTGTTACCTAGCAGTAAAATAGGTACCTGGGTGTTTGTCAGCTGTCACGGGCTGCTTCCTGGGGGTGGAGGCCTGGTCGAGGACCGGGCCGCGGGGACACTAAAGCCCCGAAATCATCTCAAGATAACCTCAAGATAACCTCCTCTGCGCTCTATGTATCAGTAGATCATCAACAGGAGCTTGTATCGCGTGGATCAACAACAGGAGCTTGTATCGCGTGGATCAACAACAGGAACTTGTACCGCGTGGATCAACAACAGGAGCTTGTACCGCGTGGATCAACAACAGGAACTTGTACCGCGTGGATCAACAACAGGAACTTGTACCGCGTGGATCATCAACAGGAGCTTGTACCGCGTGGATCAACAACAGGAACTTGTACCGCGTGGATCAACAACAGGAGCTTGTACCGCGAGGATCATCAACAGGAGCTTGTACCGCGTGGATCAATAACAGGAGCTTGTACCGCGTGGATCAACAACAGGAGCTTGTACCGCGTGGATCAACAACAGGAGCTTGTACCGCGTGAATCAACAACAGGAGCTTGTACCGCGTGGATCAACAACAGGAACTTGTACCGCGTGAATCAACAACAGGAACTTGTACCGCGTGGATCAACAACAGGAACTTGTACCGCGTGGATCAACAACAGGAGCTTGTACCGCGTGGATCAACAACAGGAACTTGTCTTAGGAGTCAACAGGAACAAAGCCAGGACTAAGGTTCATGTTGGGTGTATCAGAGCCGATTTAACAAGACGGCGTTTGTGAAGAACAGAGGCAGGAAAGAATATTTTACAAGAAGACTAATCAATAGGATGATTAGAGTCCCCAACATGAGAGAAGAGAGCATTGTGTCTGCAGACTCAACACTTCTTTTGTGTTCCTTTAGTCTGTCATTTCGTGCACGGCCAGTTTCCCTAAGTATTGGAGTGGACAAGACGAACAGGAAATAGGGCAGACACCAGCAGGATTGGAAGCAGGAGCAGTGTGAACCAGATTACTACGGAGAGTGTTAGACGGACGAAAAGTGAGCTTTACAGCAAGAGGACGAAGAGTATTAGTGAGATTTGTGAGTTCCAATATGAAGGGAAGGCAGCGCACAGTGGTACTAGTGTTGGAAACAAGTTTGGGACGAAAGAATTTTCGCTTGAGCTTAAAAATGGGCCAAGTTGATAATATGTAAGGGGTTACCTTAGGGAGAGAGACGTACAAAAAAATAAGAATCAAGACACTTAGTCTTAAAATAATCTTTCCTGCCTCTGCTCTTCACAAACGCCGTCTTGATAAATCGGCTCTGATACACAACTCTGATACACCCAAGATGAACCTTAGTCCTGGCTTTGTTGCTATTGACTCCTTCATTTCACAGTTCATACTTAAATGCTCCAACTTACTAAACAAACGTGACCTGACTTAAGCTCAGCCCTTTTTCCCACCCCTTTTTCTTTTTCTTACCATTCCTCTTACTCTTAACTTTTTTCTCTTATGTGCTCCTCACATCTCACCTCATTCTTTCTTTATTTATGTATCCATATCTTCCTCTCTCTGTTACAGCCCCGCTCCTGTGCCAGGTAAGTTCACTACGGGCTCACCATAGCCCGTGCTACTAGGAACGTTGTTCCCAGTAGCTGAATCTAAAACAACAACAACAACGAATCTTGACCAGACCACACACTAGAAGTTGAAGGGACGACGACGTTTCGGTCCGTCCTGGACCATTCTCAAGTCGATTGTCGATTGTGACAATCAACATCAACAGTCAACATACGTTATTGTCAACATACTTCAGCCACGTTATTGTGACTCATCGCCAACAAGGAATCATCATCTTATGGCAGTTCATGGCCGTGCCATCTCATGGGTGGCTTAATCTTCATCAATCAATCAATTCATCAATCTCACACTCGGCTTGTTAATGGTCCAGGACGGACCGAAACGTCTTCTGAAGTGTGGTTTGGTGATCATACCTTCAGCCCCGTTATTGTCACTCGTCGTCTGCTTGTGAAAAATATAATATTTCGCGAAACTTCCTTGTTCCCGTCCTGCTCCAGCAGACGGACGGGAGCAGGTACTTCAACCAGCAGCAGAGAGTGGCGGGTCAACACGCAGGCGCAGAGTCTCAGCGGGAGGGGAGCAGACGGCAGCAGCAGCAGAGAGTGGCGGGTCAACACGCAGGCGCAGAGTCTCAGCGGGAGGGGAGCAGACGGCAGCAGCAGCAGAGAGTGGCGGGACAGTCCAGCCAGGAGCGGCGCGCGGTCAGGTACTTGTCTGGAGGACCTGCCCCAGACTCTTTATTGTCTTGGGTTTTACTGTTGATCCATGCGGTACACTCTCGTGCAATTGTTCCACACGGTACAAGTTTCAAGCGGTACAATCTCGTGCTGTTGTTCCAGGGGTACACTCTGGTGCTGTTGTTCCAGGCGGTACACTCTCGTCCTATTGTTCCAGGCGGTACACTCTCGTGCTGTTGTTCCACCGGGTACACTCTCGTGTTGTTGTTCCACGAGGGTATAATCTCGTGTTGTTGTTCCACGGGGGTATAATCTCGTGCTGTTGTTCCACGGGGTTACACTCTCGTGCTGTTGTTCCACGAGGGTATAATCTCGTGTTGTTGTTCCACGAGGGTATAATCTCATGTTGTTGTTCCACGGGGGTATAATCTCGTGCTGTTGTTCCACGGGGTTACACTCTCGTGCTGTTGTTCCAGGGGGTAAACTCTCGTGCTGTTGTTCCAGGCGGTACACTTTCGTGCTGTTGTTCCACGGGGGTACACTCTCGTGCTGTTGTTCCAGGGGGTACACTCTCGTGCTGTTGTTCCAGGGGGTAAAATCTCGTGCTGTTGTTCCACGGGGGTACACTTTCGTGCTGTTGTTCCACGGGGGTTCACTTTCGTGCTGTTGTTCCAAGGGTTACACTCTCGTGCTGTTGTTCCAGGGGGTACACTCTCGTGCTGTTGTTCCAGGGGGTAAACTCTCGTGCTGTTGTTTCAGGCGGTACACTCTCGTGCTGTTGTTCCACGGGGGTATAATCTCGTGTTGTTGTTCCACGGGGGTATAATCTCGTGCTGTTGTTCCACGGGGTTACACTCTCGTGCTGTTGTTCCACGAGGGTATAATCTCGTGTTGTTGTTCCACGAGGGTATAATCTCATGTTGTTGTTCCACGGGGGTATAATCTCGTGCTGTTGTTCCAAGGGGTTACACTCTCGTGCTGTTGTTCCAGGGGGTAAACTCTCGTGCTGTTGTTCCAGGCGGTACACTTTCGTGCTGTTGTTCCACGGGGGTACACTCTCGTGCTGTTGTTCCAGGGGGTACACTCTCGTGCTGTTGTTCCAGGGGGTAAACTCTCGTGCTGTTGTTCCACGGGGGTACACGTTCGTGCTGTTGTTCCACGGGGGTTCACTTTCGTGCTGTTGTTCCAAGGGTTACACTCTCGTGCTGTTGTTCCAGGGGGTACACTCTCGTGCTGTTGTTCCAGGGGGTAAACTCTCGTGCTGTTGTTTCAGGCGGTACACTCTCGTGCTGTTGTTCCACGGGGGTACACTCTCGTGCTGTTGTTCCAAGGGTTACACTCTCGTGCTGTTGTTCCAGGGGGTACATTCTCGTGCTGTTGTTCCAGGGGGTACACTCTCGTGCTGTTGTTCCAAGGGTTACACTCTCGTGCTGTTGTTCCAGGGGGTACACTCTCGTGCTGTTGTTCCAGGGGGTACACTCTCGTGCTGTTGTTCCAGGGGGTACATTCTCGTGCTGTTGTTCCAGGGGATACACTCTCGTGCTGTTGTTTCAGGCGGTACACTCTCGTGCTGTTGTTCCACCGGGTACACTTTCGTGCTGTTGTTCCAGGGGGTACACTCTCGTGCTGTTGTTCCACCGGGTACACTGTCGTGTTGTTGTTCCAGGGGATACACTCTCGTGCTGTTGTTCCAGGGGGTACACTCTCGTGCTGTTGTTCCATGGGGTACACTCCCGTGCTCTTGTTCCAGGGGGTACACTCTCGTGCTGTTGTTCCAGAGGGTACACTCTCGTGCTGTTGTTCCAGGGGGGTACAATCTCGTGCTGTTATTCCAGGGGGGGGTTACACTCTCGTGCTGTTGTTCCAGGGGGTACACTCTCGTGCTGTTGTTCCAGGGGGGGTACAATCTCGTGCTGTTGTTCCAGGGGGTACAATCTCGTGCTGTTATTCCAGGGGGGTACACTCTCGTGCTGTTGTTCCAGGGGGTACACTCTCGTGCTGTTGTTCCAGGGGGTACAATCTCGTGCTGTTATTCCAGTGGGGTACACTCTCGTGCTGTTGTTCCAGGGGGTACACTCTCGTGCTGTTGTTCAGAGGGGTACACTCTCGTGCTGTTGTTCCAGGCTTTACACTCTCGTGCTGTTGTTCCAGGGGGTACACTCTCGTGCTGTTGTTCCAGGGGGTACAGTCTCGTGCTGTTGTTCCAGGGGGTACACTCTCGTGCTGTTGTTCCAAGGGGTACACTCTCGTGCGGTTGTTCCAGGGGGGGGTACACTCTCGTGCGGTTGTTCCAGGGGGGGGTACACTCTCGTGCTGTTGTTCCAAGGGGTACACTCTCGTGCTGTTGTTCCAAGGGGTACACTCTCGTGCGGTTGTTCCAGGGGAGGGGGTACACTCTCGTGCTGTTGTTCCAAGGGGTACACTCTCGTGCTGTTGAGCCAGCATAACAGTATTGTGATGACACTTGGGCAGGCGAGAGTGCGTGTGGAGGGACGCTGGTGATATCCTCCCACGACGCAGCCTGCAGGCCTGGCGGCCCTGCAACACCACACTTGCATGACCGCTCCCAGTTCATCACCGGCCTCCAGTGGACCTCGTGAGCTACGGGCCGGCGTCACACAACAGCCTGGCGGGTCCAGCAGCCTCTCCTGTGACCATCAGGCGCTCTCCTAAGTGTAAGTACCTCTCGTGCTAATGGTGGTTGGTGCGGCACGTGACCAGCTCTCTCTCGGCTCACATGACACCCCTGCTGGTACCCACACCTGCTGGCACCCACACCTGCTGGCACCCACACCTGCTGGCACTCTCCCCTGCTGGCACCCACACCTGCTGGTACCCACACCTGCTGGCACCCACACCTGCTGGCACCCACACCTGCTGGCACCCACACCTGCTGGCACCCACACCTGCTGGCACTCACACCTGCTGGCACCCACACCTGCTGGCACTCACACCTGCTGGCACCCACACCTGCTAGCACCCACACCTGCTGGCACTCTCCCCTGCTGACACCCACACCTGCTGGCACTCACACCTGCTGGCACTCACACCTGCTGGCACCAACACCTGCTGGCACTCACACCTGCTGGCACTCACACCTGCTGGCACCCACACCTGCTGGCACCCACACCTGCTGGCACTCACACCTGCTGGCACCCACACCTGCTGGCACCCACACCTGCTGGCACCCACACCTGCTGGCACTCACACCTGCTGGCACTCACACCAGCTGGCACTTACACCTGCTGGCACTCACACCTGCTGACACTCAAACCTGCTGGCACCCACACCTGCTGGCACTCACACCTAATGGCACCCACACCTGCTGGCACTCACACCTGATGGCACTCACACCTGCTGGCACCCACACCTGCTAGAACTCACACCTGCTGGCACCCACACCTGCTGGCACTCAAACCTGCTGGCACTCAAACCTGCTGGCACCCACACCTGCTGGCACTCACATCTGCTGGCACTCAAACCTACTGGCACCCACACCTGCTGGCACTCACACCTGCTGGCACTTACTCCTGCTGGCACCCACACCTGTTGGCACTCACACCTGCTGGCACCCACACCTGCTGGCACTCACACCTGCTGGCACCAACACCTGCTGGCACTCACAACTGACACCTTAGGGACCAGCAGGGACCAGCTCACTCCTTAGGGACCATTAGGGACGAGCTCACACCTTAGGGACCATTAGGGACGAGCTCACTCCTTAGGGACCATTAGGGACGAGCTCACTCCTTAGGGATCATCAGGGACGAGCTCACACCTTAGGGACCATTAGGGACGAGCTCACTCCTTAGGGACCATTAGGGACGAGCTCACTCCTTAGGGATCATCAGGGACGAACTCACACCTTAGGGACCATTAGGGACGAGCTCACTCCTTAGGGATCATTAGGGACCAGCTCACACCTTAGGGACCATCAGGGACCAGCTCACTCCTTAGGGACCATCAGGGACGAGCTCACACCTTAGGGACCATTAGGGACGAGCTCACTCCTTAGGGATCATCAGGGACCAGCTCACACCTTAGGAACCATCAGGGACCAGCTCACTCCTTAGGGACCATCAGGGACGAGCTCATACCTTAGGGACCATTAGGGACGAGCTCACACCTTAGGGACCATCAGGGACGAGCTCACTCCTTAGGGACCATTAGGGACGAGCTCACTCCTTAGGAATCATCAGGGACCAGCTCACACCTTAGGGACCATCAGGGACCAGCTCACTCCTTAGGGACCATCAGGGACGAGCTCACACCTTAGGGACCATTAGGGACGAGCTCACACCTTAGGGACCATGAGGGACGAGCTCACACCTTAGGGACCATCAGGGACGAGCTCACTCCTTAGGGACCATCAGGGACGAGCTCACGCCTTAGGGACCATTAGGGACGAGCTCACTCCTTAGGGACCATCAGGGACGAGCTCACTCCTTAGGGACCATTAGGGACCAGCGGACACTTTAGGAACCAGCAGACACCTTAGGGACCAGCAGGGACCAGCTGACACCTTAGGGACCAGCAGGGACCAGCTGACACCTTAGGGACCAGCAGGGACCAGCTCACACCTTAGGGACCAGCAGGGACCAGCTGACATCTCAGGGACCACCAGGGAGATTTTAACATATTGACCGCCGGAGTCCTAACGGTCATCAGGTCCATCCCATACTTATTGCTGTAGTTTCAAAGCGTTATATGACAAAGAGTGCTGGGAAGACGGAACACCACGAGTGTAGCTCTCATCCTGTAACTACACTTAGGTAATTACACACACACACACACACACACACACACACACACACACACACACACACACACACACACACACACACACACACACACACACACACACAGCAGAGATACACCAATTGATTGACAGTTGAGGGCGGGCCCGAAAGAGCCAGAGTTCAACCCCCACAATGTCAACTTGGTGAGTACAACTAGGTGAGTACACACACGTGGAGTGAACAGAAAACCCAGACATAATAGCACTCACAGAAACAAAACTAACGAAAACCATAACAAATGCAGTGTTTCTTCGGGAATACTATGTAGTAAGTAAGGAGAGAGAAGGAAGAGGTTGAGGTGGAGTTGCTTTGATCATAAGAAAAAACTGGAGCTTTGAGTAAATTGTTATCCAGGGCTGTGCAAGTTTCAGTACTACATAACAGGTATCATAGCAATTGGAGGACAAAAACTTATAGTAGTAGACATATATAACCCCCCTTGCAAATGACAAAAGATCCAGACTCGAATATGATAGAAACAACATGGCTACCATTAATATAATAGAGAGCAGCTTCTGTTGCTAGCAGGAACGGAGCCAGACTACTAATCATGGATGACTTCAACCATGGGAGGATAGATTGGGAGAACAGAGAACCACATGGAGGACCAGACACATGGAGAGCTAAGCTGCTGAACGTGGCAACAAGAAACTTTCTAAGCCAACATGTCAAGGGACCGACAAGATTGAGAGAAAACGAACCAACAGTGCTTGGTCTGATATTCACCCTTGAATGAGTCGGATATAAGGAAACTTAATTTGGAAGCCCCTTTAGAAATGAGTGACCATAGTGTATTGATATTTGAGTACCTGGTGGAGATAGGATTTATCTCACCCAAAAATGAACTAGAAAACAAGGGGCTGGCATAACGAAACGGTAATTATAAGGAGATGAGAAAATTCCTAAGGGATATACCATGGGACACAGAACTCAGAACTAAGTCCATACAAGACATGATGGACTATGTCACCCAAAAGTGTCAGGAGGCTGTAAGCAGGTTTATCCTGGCCCGACTGGAAAAGTCCGAGAAGAAAATAATCCGTGGTTTAATAGGGCAGGTATGGAAGCATGGGAACCGAACCAAAGGGAGTGGAGGAACTTCCGAAATAAATGAACACCAAAAAGCAGAGAGAGATACCAAAGAGCCAGGAATGAGTAGAGTGAGCAGAGAAGCAGAGCGACAATAGGAAAATTATATAACAATCAACGCAAAGACAGAACCAAAACTGCTCCACAGTCACATCAGGAAAACAGCCGTTTTCGGGAGACTGCATTTTCTTGGAGTGTCGGAAAGGCTTTGACACAGTACCCCATAAGAGGCTGGTGCATAAGTTGGAGAAATAGGCAAGAGTAACTGGCAGAATGCTCAAGTGTACAAGGGAGTACCTAAACAATGGAAGCAGAAAGTTATTGTGAGGAGTGAGACCTCAGACTGGCGTGGTCACCAGCAGTCCCACAGGGCTCTGAACTCAGAGCAATCCTGTTTCTGATATACGAAAATGATATTCCAGAGGGTATAAACTCATTCCTCTCAATGTTTGCTGACGATTCCAAAATTATGGGAAGGAGTTAGATAAAGGAGGACAGCATGAAGCTTATTAACTGTTTAATAATTGTAAACAAAGCCGCCAAAGATTGAGAAAAGATGTACAGGTTCGTAAGTGTTTTCGTAACTGTTTCATGAATCTGGGTCAGCTGGGCCCCAGCGATGTAAACAATACATCTGTCTTCTGCTAGTGTAGTTTGTCTAGGTCTTCCGTATCTTGGTTTATCCAGAACATTTCTAGACTCATCATATTGAAGACGAGCAAAGGCGAACTAAAGGGACAGATATTCCCATCTCCCTCGCTATACGAGTATTAGAGAGCTCGCCGCTTTCATGTCAAATGTCCTTCATCATTTCACAAGAATCTCTTGACTGTGGTTCATCTTGAGTGTAGTTGACGCTACACCGCCAGAAAATAGACTTCCAAGAGCTCCAGACCGTGGTGACACAGTCTGGAGGTCACACAGATAGAATCCAGAGTCAATGACCGACCGCTGACTTATTATCTCTTGGATGATTTCTACCATCATGGGGTTATCAGTCCAACTCATCTGATCTCCCATAATGAGGCTATCAGTCCAACTCATCTGATCTCCCATCCTGAGGCTATCAGTCCAACTCATCTGTTCTCCCAGCATGAGGCTATCAGTCCAACTCATCTGTTCTCCCAGCATGAGGCTATCAGTCCAACTCATCTGATCTACTGGGACCCTCTGACACCTGTGGTGACCTTCGTGGCTGAAGAACCCGGGGGATCCTTCTTACGTAAGTGAGAGTGACTTGGCTCCAAGATATGAACGTCTTTTCCGAGTCATAAGTTAGTGGAATGAAGGTTGGACTAATTAGGGGGGCATTAAAATGGTTTTGGAAAAATTGTTCAATGTCAACCAATATTTTTTGACTAGTTGTATATGAAAAGCGCTGCAATTGTCCCAAGATTCATTACTACAGCGTAAATAGGAAGGGAAATTTTTTTGTTTGTTGATTTTTTCAACGACTTTTACACATTTTCAAGTCTGAATAAATAAACACACGTTTCAGATATAATTATTCTATGACACTTTTCTGACACATTAGCATATAATAAAGGATCTGTTGATAGATAATTACCAAAACATCTTTAGTTTTCCTAATACAAATTTTCAAAGTTCCCCCAAAATTATGCAAATATGTCAAGTTTATTGCTATTATAAAATCAATAAATGAACTTAGAGAAAAAAGCTATCCACAAGATTTAGAGACATCCACTCT